GCCACAGCCTCGCTCGGGAAGCAAGCCTTCCCACCTCCCTATATTCTCATCTGGCCTAGCTCTCCCCCCTGCTCCTTTGCTATCTGCATGTATCTCAAACCATCGACTCATTACATGGTCCATGATTTTCCCATGATCCCTCTGGCTACCCCAGTAGATGTCTGAGCTCCTCGAGAGCAGTAACTGCGCCAGAGGGTTAGTGGTACATGTTGTAGTATTGTTAGGAGCTGTCAAGTCATGTTTGACTCATTGATGTTCCCACATGACAGAGTAGAACTGCCCCATGGGGTTTTCTAGGTTGTAATTTTTATGGAAACCAGCTCTTTCTTCCACAGAGCCGCTGGGTAGGGTGGAACTGCTGACCTTTCAACTCTTGAGTGTTTAAGAATTTGTGCCACCAGGGCACATGGTAGATAAGCCGTGAGATATGAATGAAGGAGATGAAAACAACAGTAAAAACTTTCTTTACCTTTGGATTATTGCTAATAAGATTATTGACAATGCACAATATGCATGGTAATTTCTATTGCATGTGTTTATTCTTTTATCATTCATTCTCTATTTACTCATTGAATACCTTCATTGGCCACAAACTACAGACCAGTTCTAATTAATGGCAATACAGTGGCAAGCAAAATAGTCATAGCCCCTCCATTTTTGGAACTTGGATTCTTTCTACTTCTGAAGATGATTTGAAGGTGCTTAGAGTGTTAAAATGGAGTCTGTGAATGATGCAAAAGGTTAATGCTCTCAGCTGCTAATTGAAAGGTTGGAGTTTTGAGTCCACCCAGTCGCACATTGGGATGGGTCACTTCTGATTTTGATAGAGTGACTTCTGAAATCTCAGCCATTGAAAACCCATTGGAGCATAGTTTTCCTCTGACACACATGAGGTCACTGTCATCAGAATCTACTTGATGGCACCTCTTTTTTTTTTTTTTTTTTTAACAATTTTAAAATGTGAAGAAAAGTTATTTTAAAGTGGAAAAACCAGTAAAGCAAACAGAAGAACTAAGTGTGCTAGATACATGGGATGATGGATTGATTTATCTCACCTTAGGTCTCAGCTCCCTTATAGGAGATAATAAGGCAGGCAATGTCTTCAGCTATGTTTTTCCAAAAGACATAAAATGGTACCTCATAGAGATGTTTGTGATATTGCCTCTGTGTAACATTAAATCTCAACTCAGTAAAGACATCTCTGTGGAAAGACAAAATAATTAGAACTGGGCTCACAGCTTCTTAAT